TTCGTTTAGTACGGGTCATGTGCGGGAAAAAGACGAACGGATGTGTGAGTTTGGGTGGGTTCTACTGGATAACATGAGCAGATTTTGTACGTCTTTAATGGCGTTACGGCACCGTTTGAATGGCAAACGAGGCCATACGAGCTCGTTTATCTAAAACTACGAACAATAATATTGCACTTTTCGTAAAATACGAAGCTGCACGACTAGAGACTGACTCACTGACCGACAAAAAATAAAACGGTGATTCTGTTAAAAATAAGCAGGTCTAGAAACAATACCATCTAGATTTTAACTACCTACGCACGAAGAAAGTGCATGTATTCTAAGCAGTGCTTTGCTCTAGTATACACGTTTGTCCCTATTTGCTGGTAAGCTAGTTCCTTAGGTTGAGACAGCTACCGTTTAAAAATTGGTTAACCTCCGAAGCCCTAACTGGCAATAAAGCGCTCTGCCATGCTTGATTTTAGGTTGGACCATCATACCATTAACGGTAAGTGTACGCTTCGGGTTAGTGCGGAGGTACGAGACACAGGGAAAACGTTTGGGAGAGCTTCTAACAGATACCGCTTCCTATAGCCATGCCGCTTTGGTAGCACTGGATGTAAACTACGCTTGTTGCGCTTCAGCTTACTTATGCTACGGAATACTTTCCCCAAGCATTATATATATAATGCGGTTATCCTATTTATTTTGTACCAACCCATAGTAAAATCGAGTTGCAGTGTACTGTTAAAAGACGCCGACACGTTTCTAGCCGGAACGGATTGTCATTGAGAATGCTTTCTTATACATAAATTGCGTCAGACATCTGTAAATGGCGATCAGCTCTTGCGTAGGATACATCCCACGGCGAAAACGAAGTATCGTCTGTGAGTAATGTTGTTAACGACACTGAAGCACATGTTGAATACTACCGCAACGTGAGAAGTGCCCGTCTAACAGCCGATTCATGGAATCAAACACCATAGAGAAATCCTTTCTATCGTATGATGATACCGATACAAACTATCTATAAAAAAACGTACGCGTATTTCATTATAAATGATACAGTCATAACAGAAGTCTGTTAGATAATGATCATCACTTCACTGTTATTGACTGACTTACATCTATTATCATTCAATTATATAATATATTATAATTCAGTAAATACAATTTATAATAATATTAAACATAGTATGTAATAATAATAGTAATAGTAGATATAATATTGTACGTATAATGCTGCTATGTATGTAGGTAAAGCATTTGGATTGGTACCGTATTTACAATATAGCCACGTTCAGTATTGCCACTATTAAAACTTGCTTGATCAAGAAGTATTCATTGGCTTTAGATAGTAACTTAGGGACGAGCTTCTGAACCATAGAAGTTTTTCCGAAAGAGGTTCCAGTATTCGTATCGTCCAGCCATCCTTTACCAAGTTCGCTTTACCAGAATCAAGTGCCTCTGTGTGGGTACACTCAAGCCTAAAGACAAAGTGTTGGGTGCCGTTCCTGCCGACTACATATTCGACGTTTGTTGTTCTTACTGTTTTTCGATAATTTTCATTGACAATCTGAGTAATTTAGGCCGAGCTCTTCTATGGCTCATAGGATATTTTGTACAGGAACCTAGGAAATCGTGATATTATATATGGCATTGGATACTATAAACCTGACCACTTAAACTTAAGTTCGCCTCAACTAGATAAGGGTTATGCTATCTGTAACTACCAATTAGTAGTGAAAATTGTGTAGCCTATACGGTGCGTAAGCAGGATATTCGGTTAAGTTACAATTCGAAACTTAATAGCCTACGATAGTTCATTACAACAATCTTTACTCAACGCCAAATACTTAGAAATGAAAAAATATTAGAAAAAAAAATTAGACAACTTAGAAATTATGACGCATGGACATAAATGACCAAAATAGAAAACTCTAAAGAACTATAGATTAATAAGCTATAAATATGTGTTTACTAATAAAGATTACAGTAAATTTGATCAAATAGATGAAGCTAGAAAGCGTAAATCAAGCCACCGACTGACTGCGATGTTTCAAGCAATCCTTCTTATGCAACAACAGGCATCAAATGGATATGTTTATGCTTCTCCTCTCGGAACTTGTACCCGCATAGGATACGGTAACTGACATTTTGTGCATGGGATAAGTCGTATTCGAAGGTTCTCTGAGGGCGAGAAAAATCTTCAGGGATTATGTTGTGTATCCTGAGTGAAATTTATGATGGAGGATCGCACACCGGCAGTGACAATAATGAGATATAGTATAAATGGTATAGATACTTACCTGTCTGCGTTACCAACTGCCATATCCTGCGTCCTAAGTTCGATTATTGTACAGGAACGAGCGTATATGGTTGCCAACTAGGTAAAGGGCTAGTTTTCCTATTGTCGTAAATATTCGATTTAATTCTACAGAACGGTGTCAACCATTTTTTTTTTTTCGAAATTACTTATCTCGTAGGAATGATTTTGTGGAACAGTTTCGCCTTCTGCTCGTTGCAGCCCGTTAACAGATCGCTTACAGATAGATAAGCTTTGGTTGGATCAATGTTTTACTATTATATGTACCCTTTTTTCATTTTTGGCAATTCAGCACTGGCGGAGAAGCGCGTTGAAGAACAAGCACTTGAGTATCAGTACAGATATCGATTTATAAATTATGCAGTTCTACAATATTTTGATTAGTCCAGCAGCCGAAAAGTACTATAGAAGTCTGTAAACCTTGCTCGAATGTACTGTGAACTACGAAGTGCTGACGTTCTCACTGTTTAAATTAATTGTTGTTTTGTTACTCACATTCACATATATCCTGAAAGAGATAGCTCTATTCTTCAATTGAAATCCAAGAACAAAGTAATCTTATCTCGTCATCAGATGATGATGATGATGATGTCTATTTCCTATTCGAGCTTTTTTGTAGAGCTTTAGCAAATCTAAGAAAAATTTGTTTCACAGTCGATCGGAGCAGCGAGATAATTTCAATGAAACAGTGATTTCGAGCATAACGAGACGTTATTTGTGAAATACATTGAACCGAAAATTCACTGTATTTTACCACTCGAGCCGGAGCAGCAGAACTCTGTAAAGAACTAATCTAAACGACGACTTATTGTTAACTTTAGGCATTTCCATATACAGAATCCAGCTCCGGTGATGTCCAGAGGTCGTTATCCGTCCTCGACTTCGCCCGAGACGAAAGCCAGTCGGGCAAAGACAGCACGAAAGTTGAAATGAAGTGACTAACACTTCGTTTCCATCGCGTTTTCATCAATGTAGCCAGTAGACGAAAGTGACGGGTCTATAGACGTTCCATTTGCAAATCTTTCTCCAGGTTTGCTAGATATAATTAGGCCGTAACGTAATTAGTATTCTGACGCTAAATATTAATTACAATTTAGGTTTTAGAGAACTACTTAGGGCTACAATTTAGCTGTATACGTACATGTTATGCCCTACTTCATGGTCTGTATCTATTACTCGTAAAATTTGTTCTTATTTCTTCATATCGATGCATAGAAGATTGCACAAAACACTCAAAATTGATTCAAAAACTTTAGGTAAAATACTCTTTCTTTAGTCTCTTGGCTGTATAATCATCGGTTTAGCCTTCAATGATGTGCTTGGTATTGCCGTTTCTTAACGTCACTACGGTGGAGAGACAGAGATGGATTAGGGACGTTGATTTTATCTTGATTGGGATAGATTAAAAAATGTACTCCATTGTTCATTGCAACGTTGTATTAGAACTTGAAAGGACGTAGATTTACGTAATTTTGTCTTTTTAATTAAAATATTGTATCTCTGACCAAAACTGTCGCCTTCTAGGTTCGAGGCAATGTGTCTGCGCTCTCCAGACTTCGACGAAGGCTCTTTAACTTTGCGGAGATGTTTTTTATCACAAATATTTGGTACAAATAGAGTAATTCTATTTGTAGGCTTCGCCGAACTACTTAAATCCTACGCCGAATCCTACTTAAGTGCCTCCCGGAGCGTTTAATTCTGCAAAACTCGAACGGCTGTAGCGAACGTTTGAAGTTAGGGGGGGGGGGGGTCTTCAACGAACAATTCACTGGTCTGATTGAGGATTGATAAAGTCCCGATGTCTGTATCAGTAAAATTGTTCAGATAGCACACGATGTTTATTAGAATCTAACTTGAACACATGGTCCTCAATTGTATCTCTAGCAGGGACAAGTTTTGTCGTCTGGCTAATATTTCTACCTTTTCATCTACAGGCGCGGACATGGGAGGCCTTTAAAAGATCTATTGAGGTTCTGTGTTGGATACTGTTTACTCAGTTACATCAATTGCTTTCATTGCGGGTGCAAATTTAGTTTCAAGGCGTTTTTTCGGAGACAGAATCCACAATTTACTATTTCGAGATTCGTAATTGGGCAACAAACGGTGCATAGACAAAAGTTGTCGACAACGAAAGCGATGTCTTTTAGCTCCAATATGGCGCCCAACGTTTTCTGCGTCACAATTGCGTTGGATCAACAATTTTCTCAAGCATGTATTTTTTTTCTCTAATTGTATAGGATTTTCAAAATTCGTAGCGGACGTGTCATGGTTCAAGTAGTCCAAGTTCAATTCGGAGGCACTTATAGAATATCTGTTGAGAGCCTTTTAAGCGTTCGTTCGTCGAGGAACAATGCTTGCTATTAGATTAGTTCGAGGCGTGAGAAAATAAATACTCGGCCGATTTTTAACCGCCCTATCGTCGGATAGTGTGTGTTGCATGTTTATTTCCTACAAACTTACGTCCTTGTACCAATGAATACTACTGACGCCTCGAAAGAAATTGATTAATTAATAGGCTAAGGGAGAAGGTTGGACGCTAACAGGTACCATGCTTGTAAGCCGCATCACTAAACGTTGCATGAAAACACTATATTCTAATAGAGCCTTTGTCGTCGATTTTCTATTCAAGAAATTTTTCGATTACATCTCAGTCAGTATCGAATAAGAACAACGAACCAAAGTGGCCGTAAAACAGCTGTCGACTGATTACGATCTCTTACATTTGTTTACAGAGAACATTAAATTGTAAGGCACCCTGCGAACGCTGACTTAGGACCTGAGATTTTAAAGCAGAGAGCGCTTCTCGTCCTGTTTTTTTTTTCTGTTTTCAGAACTAAACAATACTTAATACTGTTAGTAGTAGAACATTTTTATAGGAATTCTTAGTAGATTAGATGTGTTCCTTTACACTTAATAATAAGATTTCACGATAGGTCGTCGACGAGGCGTCTAGCGTACTCGCAGAAACGAAGCGCAATTTGTTCCGTTTTACGCAATCCTGGCCAGCTACTTAAGCTTTATTATACCGATCGAAATTCAGCAATGAAGCTTTATAAAATACGTTATTTGTTAGCTTCTGTAATTGAAAGTGGTCCAGTAACACGTCCTTTTTCTTTTTTTTGTATGTCTAGTAGGTGGCTATTAAATAAGCTGGGCCCGTGCGGTGATGCAGTTATGGCGCGTTTGCCCGCAAGACTTACGGACGCGTCATGGACTAGGTTCGAGACCGACAAACTCTGTCTCATGATGGAAGCCAGCCGTCCGAAGCAGCAATGAATGAAAGACTGGATAATATTTAAGTAGACGCGGCGGCTCTTACATATCGGTTAGCAGTTCTAGCGATTGTTTTGCTTAGCTGATGCCAGTTAAACGATGTTTTTATCTCTCCCCCTATTGCGAACGGGGTTTATAAACAGAAGATACTTGAATGCATGTATATGGGATTTTTTTGACGACATTAATTATACCAACAGCAAGACGTTCTTAAGCCGGCGTCGAGGCGCCACAGTTGTATCATTAATTGCAAGGCAAACCTGCAATATTTGCTTATTTCAATCGCTTACTTATTCACCCGGTATTGTATATTAATTATAGATAACTATTTATATTATCATTACTATTCATGTCAAGTACTCGTACATTGTTCCGGTACATCCGCCTACGGCAAAAAGCAAGCGCTCTGGCTAAGCCAGGATCACAAGGCTGCAAGTGGAGTTCGAACACGTGTAACACTACCTGAGCGCTTTTACCAACGTTTCAAACTCGAGCATAAGCTACCAGGATGCGTTGGCAGACGTTAAGCAACTGACGTTTAGCTGGACTTATACTTAATTTCGTTGAGGAGGTTATTCTTAAAGGTTTACTTGAATTTTCCAGAATGACTTCTCTAGACAAATCCGTGTAGGAAACACGTGGCGCTTCGATTGAGGAGAACAGCTTGCGCCTTGCTAGCTGAATTCTCGCAAAGTTAAAAAGTTTAAAAAAAAATGAAGAAATGAAAAACACCTACATTCAGATGGAGAAAAGAACGTCCACATTGCCGGCTCTCTAGAGCCGAGCACAACGATGACCTCTGGAAGCTCTGAACATATTATAATGATTTCATCCATAAATCGTTTTGTATATACGAAGCTCACCGTATTGCCTAAAGGTAAGTTCGGATTATTTTGTGCTTGTCAGATGTTTTACTGGATGTTGACACAATGTATTGGGCCCCATGGCACACCAAAGCTGCGTATAGAATCTCCTTCTTCAATAGAGTTAAACTAAATAACAATCGCAGTGAACGGTCTAAATTTAGAGCCGCCTTCGCTGGTCCATCTTGGTGAAGTCCAGAACAGTGGCGCAGATCGTACTTCGAGCAGATGCGCCGACGGGTGTGTTACCTTTAGACTAGGCCTGTAGCAGAGTTCGATCAAAAATCAAATCCTGATAAATCTATAGAAAAGTTCCTTTCCGCAGGTTCGTACAGGTCGCAAGCGGTCCGCATGAATAATGTACTCAGAATGGTCAACTGGATTGCCATAATGTGTATGCACCTGAAGGGTAGTGCATAGTAGTTGGAACAGCAACAATGAGAAAAGTCACCTCCGACTTACTCAGCGATGATTATCGCTAGATTAAGTTTCTTTGTATTAGAAAATATATAGAGAGTGCCACGCCTACTCGGACATGGTCGTAGCATTATCTACCGGCTTGATTTATGTTAGGTACAGGATGCATATATAACTAAAATTGCTAACGTACGTCAAAGTAATCTACGAGATAACTTCGTTACATAAGAAGTATGGTTTACTGACATGGTCACGGCAAACATCGATATGATGATCGGTAAGTTCACAGCCAGGTCAGAGGCCAATTTGCAATTAGGCAAAATAGACCCCCACCTCGAAGAGGGGTAGATTAACAGCCTACGAAGATACCGTTCGAACTGGCAGGGTATCGCCTTCCTAACTGAATGACGACCCGTCTGCTAACAGCCGTTTGTCGCTTCGCCGGCAGAGTTACAGCCTCTGAAAGGCCATGCTTTACTACTTTACGATTACTTTATATTCCAAAGTACGACCAATTTCATTTCATGTGTAACTTGAAATGATGTCATCGGGTCCCAATAAGTTCGCTTATATTATTGCATATTAAATTCGGACAATCGCAAGTTCTCTTTCAGTTCTCAGCTAAGGTTTTAGTAATAGAAAAATCGACCGATCGTAATCATCAGCTTGTGGCATTTCATATAATCATATGGAATATGTCTAAGAGCTCTTCGCATCGATGCAAACAGCAGTCTAAGTGTGACCTTATACAGAGGATTAGGTAATTTGTGACGTGTAGGTCTACTCTGGACGGCGTTTAGCCAGTAAATCGGACGTTTCATCAAAGCCGCTGGGTGGGTAGATTTAGTCCTTCTTATTATGATGATAAGGCCCTGGCGTATTTTGATTTTCAATGATTAAATTCCTGTTTTGAAACTGTCCGAAAGTTAGAAGTTAGTGCTTAGCAAAGCAGTTGCAGCAGCAGCAAAGTGCGTCTAGTCAACTTGAATTTAGTCACTGGAGAGTAAGCGTGCGAGTATCATGGACTCACAAAGGGCAGGCCAACGTTGACCATTTACTCTGGTTGAAGAAAACAGTGTTGATTCAGACGACAAAACGAAGTTCAGCTGTATTTATTTTGACTTTCGTCAAGTATTTAACCTAAAGGTAAATATCACTAACTGAACAAGAAAGAGTATCCAATGCTTTGTTACAACAGGGTCATTATCACAGCTGAATGTAATCGGCGTCCAAATATTCCGAATATAAAGATATAAAATATTGGCCAAACATTGCTATGGTACCAACTAAGGCAGGATACAATGTACGTTAAATACGTACAATGCTACCAAAGCTGCTCGTTGGCTTGTCTTGGGAACTAATAACCACGAAGCGAAATTAACGAATTGCAGGACGGATCTGTGTAAAAAGTTGCTATCAAAAGTTCACTTATATAGCTTGAATTCTGGCAAATCAACCTCGCAGATCCCATCCCTGCTGCACGAGATCTATGCTACAACGTGAAGTGTCAAATAAAATTGAATGATATACGTAGCTCATTCAGTGGTTCATCGGTGACCCGACCAAATCTCTCATGTTCTACGATGTGGTGAGGAAAAAACATCGAATGAAGGTAAAACTGAAGAAGTGCTGCCAGTCTAGGATCGAATGCCACCATAGCTTCTGCACCGAAAAAACCTAGCCTAGTTTCAAATAGTGCTCCGCTTCGTAGAGTTTCAATTCGCTGAGTGCTACCTAAAGCATTTGCGTAGCGATATCATTTATACTAAACAGCAACTGCGTGCGGAAATATAGTCATCATCTCCAGTAGGGTCCGATCAGCTGATAATAGATTCGTTGTTTTTTCGTTTTTAATTGATTTTTAACTTGAGCGTGGTTCGAAGTCTAAGAAGTCGGATGGATGGATGGATGGATGGATGGATGGGTATTTGCGTTAACGAATGCACAATCCCCAATGTACGCTCGATTGGGCCGTAACTAGTAGATCACGCTAGATGCGCTTTTCATACAAGCTTCTACAACTTGCTTGCAAATAACTCGTACGAGTACCATGTGCAAACCACCTTAGATCGGTGTGAATAAAGAAGAAAACTATACCTAGGCTGTAAAATCACATCGTCATCGTTTCTTTATACCAATAGATTATTTGGACAAGTTTAATTCGAGAGTAACTAAAGAAGTAATGTTTAAGAAGCTTCGCTGCTATTTACTCTCCGCCGACGTCTTATGGAAATTAATAGTAATGTACAAAACTACCCTATAAGGGCGTTGGCTAGCACTAAGAAATACTCTATTGTGTTGTTTCATCAAAAGATGTGTTCATGGGCAACTACGAAAACCTAAAGTTATGGCTAGCAAGCCAGGTGATCGGCACTTGCAGTAATTGCGAATACGTGAAATATGTTGAAAGCCACCATTAGAAGGCATACGAAAGATTTCTATAGTTTTACTTTTTATAGAGCACTAAACGGGAACCTTGCATGACTCTAATAAACACAGCCGTTACTTCTTGACCTTTTTATGAGAAATGGCCAGCGACGCCAAGTCGTCCTATGAATTCAATGCCCTCCTAAGTCATCTAGAGTGACAACTCTGTCCAATTTTCTATCCTTGCACGATTGGGTCTGGGCCACTAAAAGCAAAGACTCGACAGAACAAAAGCAATATTAGTAAACTATGTATCCCGCTTGTAAGAAAATGCAATAACCCGTATCTTTATAAGAGAAAAAAGTGACGACAAGTGAAGCTTCATTAAGGTTCTGTTTCGTTGGCGCAAAGGAGAAGCCTTAGTTTGCTATAGGTAACCGATGACGCCTGAAAACCAGGCATTCGGCACGCAAAAGACTCGGGATAATGATCGTAAACATAGGGTATGCAAGCACGCACATTGTAGGTGAAGCGTTCTACTACTCTGATTGGGAGAAACGGTTTCAAGGTTGTTCGACGCTAGGAGAACGGAAAGGGACGATTTTCGTTTGTCTTTCAGCCATGATTGGATTGGATAGCAGCGTAGACGTTCCGAGTTGTCTGCTTCTAGACGGCCTGTTTTCTCAAGTTGTAAGAAATAGCCTTGTTGTTCACTGTCGTAGTTCAAAGCAATGATTTGTCGAAAAACTTCAAAATCATGCACTTCCAAAACGTATCTACTGGTTAAAAATGTAATGGCGGCTCTGCATGAAGATCGTCGATATTTTAAAGGAACTGAAACAAATACGCCTATTGTCGATGATCTAGCGTTGAGGAATAAAGCTTTGATTTGAAATAAGACAATAAGCATCCCATGATTTCGCCGATCTCTGAAATGGTAGAGGAGGCGCGCCACCAGAAGCCTGCAGAGCTGGTCGAACAGTTGGTTATAAGCGCAGGACATCCTAATTCGGACAGAAGATAGCGTGAAAGATGTGTCAAGTAACTACGAACGATAGCTGCTACAGAACAATGGCTGTATCGGCATGCCTTACGTGTGCGCAGAGTGGACCGCTGCTGAACCTCCCAAATGGAACAAGCTATCCTCAATCACTTGAAGACCACAAAAATTAAGCGCGTGTAGTGGCACGTTTTCTGAAAAAAAGCTGGTCAGTTATAGGTTTCCGGCGTGAATGTAACACTATAAATATTAATGAAAAATTAGGTTGTATTATTAAGGTTGATAGCGGTTTGTATGATTGCCATGCTCTTTTAAAGGGAGAGGTCTGCTGACGGAACCCTAGATAAACCCAGCCAGACCCATTCCGCTTCGATTGCTGATGGGGAGGGGGTAAGCCCTCTAGGTTATACTTAAAATAAGAGAATTTGTTGACTAGTGCTCATACAAGTATTAATTTATTCATTCTTACTCTGTGGTGGTGATATTTAGCAGGTAGCTTGTTGCCACTAAGGGCGTTGTGAAGATTTGTCCGCTAACTTGGTATTTTACCAAGTTCGATCGATCCCGATCGATAATATTAGGACTTTTCGATTGCTTCTCAAGGTTTATAAGAGTCATTGGTGAGACAGACCAAGCAAAATCACATCGTTGTTGATAACGGCATTTAATCGAATCGAAAGCACGACCGCTTGGTTTCCATTTATGCAGTAATGAACCGTACTTTCGACCTGGAGACATAGGTTTTAATATATTTACCTGGCCGCTTCTACCGCACAGTCGGCATTACACATTCGCGCTTGACGTTAACGAGCGGCATAAAATTTTCTAATTAACCAAGAAGACGCTCAGATCTTACGACAGAATATTTCACCACCTTAAAGCATTACCCGTGACAGCTCACTATAGTTATCTCCCACTCGTACCGTTGGAGTTGTTATACTGGTTTGTTTGTTTTAGTTAGCGTGCCGCATTTCTCTGGCCATCCTGCCAACTTCCGTACAATTCCCGTTACTTATTCACCTTACTTCGGCTGTCCTGATTTACGCATACAGAATATGGAGTCTAAGGTTTCTCCGAGATTCTCCGTACGTTTTGTTCCTAAGACTATTTAAACATGAAAAAGAATAGTTCAACAAAATGTTTGCATGTATTGAATGTGTTATTTGCGTCAGTGCTGGATCTTTATTCGACATCACCGCCAACGAGCGCGATTTTATTCATTGGCCTCGAGTTTCGAATCGGGACCTAAACCGCTACTAACTCGTTTCAAATGTTACCTTTACAAGTCTACAAAGGCTCTCCTGGTAAAGACACGACCGATCGAATCGGCGTGGTCATTCACTCACGTTAGCACCCAACTCGTCACGATAGCATAGTGGGTTACGTACTTGTTTGCTAGTCTTAAGGGTACGTCGTGATCTAGATTCAAATCTGGGCACAGACATATTTCATTCCATGTTGGGAGCCAGCCGTGCGGCGGAATACCTAATGGCAATACCTGATATAAAACTACAGACGCCAACTCAATAACGTTCCAAACCATAGTGAACCAGAAGCTTCAAATCTGAGCTGTTCGGCGGCCGTATGCGCTCGTCCCAGGACATGCTTGCACTCTCAAGTACCTCCACGTTGCACTGATCATCTGGTAGAGCGTCATTTTGCTGTAAGACGTATGTATTCCTCAAACATTTTAGCTAG